CCCATCCAAGAAAGCCTTACACCCTCCATATACTGGCCACCCCCACTCACCTTCACGGCTCCAGACATCTCCTGGGGAGAGTCAGGCTCTGCATACACCGCCAAGCAGCCCGCACCCACCTGGTACCCGTGTGCCTCTTCTTCTGTCCCTTCTTCCAGGGATTGGTGCTGCCTCCCTGAAAAAATGCCACTCTAGGCAAATGCCTTGTTTGCCTTTGTGGTAATATACACCCCTGATGAGGGAAAAGTTTATCATTTTATCTGAGATGTAAAAGCAGAGTTTCTCTCTAAGTTCACATATATACTTGATTGTAGGATATAATTGGTTAGGATCAATAGATATATACAGGATATCTATAAAAACAAGAAGGAATGTTTCTTTTATTTAGGATATAAAAGTGGAGAAGAAGTTTTCCGCGTCCTGTGTCGCGGCGGTTGGGTGGACGCGGAGGCCGTGTTGATGCAGCCAGTTTATTTTGTGCCGTTGGCAGACACACAATCTCCATAATCAGTTCTCCTCTATGCTCCGGCACGTTCCATTATGGGTCCTGAGCATGAAAGGGAGATTTAATAAGATGCAAATCCTGGTGGCACAGACTCGGCCACATAATAATGCCTTTGTCTTGGAGTCTGTGCTTATTCTAATGTCATTGGTTAAGCTTCCAGCAATGATTTCTGCATTAGAGAGTGGCGTGTGTCGGGTCCATTGTGCGACAGATCAGGGACTGTGTGTTATTCTAAGAATTAAACATTTAAAGGAAACCTGCCATCAGAGGAATGACCTCCTCCTGATAGTTGCCTGTTGCATTGACCCTCTGATTTCTTTCTAACTCAATGACCCAGAACAACGCAGATTAAGGATGTCAAGGAAAAGTCAACAGCCCTTACTTTCAGCAGTACTTATTCCAGGTCTGTAACTCAAAGTATTGCAGCAAGGGCATAGATTAGACAGCCAGTCAACTGGCATTTCCAGATAGGAAGCTCTCATGTTTCTGTCACAGAAGTACAGTCAGGTCCATAAATATTGGGACATCGACACAATTCTAACATTTTTGGGCTCTATACACCACCACAATGGATTTGAAATGAAACAAACAAGATGTGCTTTAACTGCAGACTGTCAGCTTTAATTTGAGGGTATTTACATCCAAATCAGGTGAACGGTGGTTGGAATTACAACAGTTTGCATATGTGCCCCCCACTTATTAAGGGACCAAAAGTAATGGGACAATTGGCTTCTCAGCTGTTCCATGCCAGGTGTGTGTTATTCCCTCATTATACCCAATTACAATGAGCAGATAAAAGGTCCAGAGTTCATTTCAAGTGTGCTATTTGCATTTGGAATCTGTTGCTGTCAACTGTCAAGATGAGATCCAAAGAGCTGTCACTATCAGTGAAGCAAGCCATCATTAGGCTGAAAAAACAAAACAAACCCATCAGAGAGATAGCAAAAACATTAGGCGTGGCCAAAACAACTGTTTGGAACATTCTTAAAAAGAAGGAACGCACCGGTGAGCTCAGCAACACCAAAAAGACCCGGAAGACCACGGAAAACAACTGTGGTGGATGACCGAAGAAATTCTTTCCCTGGTAAAGAAAACCCCCTTCACAACAGTTGGCCAGATCAAGAACACTCTCCAGGAGGAGGTGTATGTGTGTCAAAGTCAATAATCAAGAGAAGACTTCACTAGAGTGAATACAGAGGGTTCACCACAAGATGTAAACCATTGGTGAGCCTCAAAAACAGGAAGGCCAGATTAGAGTTTGCCAAACGACATCTAAAAAAGCCTTCAAAGTTCTGGAACAAACATCCTATGGGACAGATGAGACCAAGATCAACTTGTACCAGAGTGATGGGAAGAGAAGAGTATGGAGAAGGAAATGGAACTGCTCATGATCCTAAGCATACCACCTCATCAGTGAAGCATGGTGGTGGTGGTAGTGTCATGGCGTGGGCATGTATGGCTGCCAATGGAACTGCTTCTCTTGTATGTATTGATGATGTGACTGCTGACAAAAGCAGCCGGATGAAATCTGAAGTGTTTCGGGCAATATTATCTGCTCATATTCAGCCAAATGCTTCACAACTCATTGGACGCTTCACAGTGCATGATGGACAATGACCCAAAGCAGACTGCAAAAGCAACCAAAGAGTTTTTTAAAGGGAAAGAAGTGGAATGTTATGCAATGGCCAAGTCAATCACCTGACCTGAATCCGATTGAGCATGCATTTCACTTGCTGAAGACAAAACTGAAGGGAAAATGCCCCAAGAACAAGCGCTCAGGAACTGAAGACAGTTGCAGTAGAGGCCTGGCAGAGCATCACCAGGGATGAACCCCAGCGTCTGGTGATGTCTATGCGTTCCAGACTTCAGGCTGTAATTGACTGCAAAGGATTTGCAACCAAGTATTAAAAAGTGAAATTTTGATTTATGATTAAATTATTCTGTCCCATTACTTTTGGTCCCTTAATAAGTGGGAGGCACATATGAAAACTGTTGTAATTCCTACACCGTTCACCTGATTTGGATGTAAATACCCTCAAATTAAAGCTGACAATCTGCAGTTAAAGCACATCGTGTTCATTTCATGTCAAATCCATTGTGGTGGTGTATAGAGCCAAAAATGTTAGAATTGTGTCAATGTCCCAATATTTATGGACCTGACTGTATATGGAGGAAAGTGCCAGACCAGTTGAATTTGTGCAGTGCATGCTAGCTGTGGTCACGTGCACTGCTTTATGCACACTACACATCCCATAGTCTATAGTCCATCTCGGGAGCGAGAAAGAGAGGGTGGCTACATTACTACATACAGTGGGACCATAGAGAACGAATGTAGCCACCCTCTAACAGGAAGTCAGATCACAGCAGCCTAAGCAAAGAAATTTAGAGGAGGCTGACAGCAATAGAAGGGACTTTTTTTTAAGTTAAAGTGGTGTTAAATCCAAAACCAAAAATGTAATATATTGCAGCTTACCAATCATTAGATGTGGTAGCTGCATTTGTGTTCTTTTTTAGGATTTTTCCTCTCTGTTTTCTGGTGATCTGGCCAAAAACACACCTCCTTGTATTAGAGTGTCCCCATTCTGGAAGAAGGAGCATAGGGGGCACTTTTGGATAGCAGCATTGTCAGTTTGGGGGAGGGGAGTATTAGATGTACTAGCAGATTTAGATGCATTAACAAATTGAAGCTGAACTCCAGCTAACAGCGGGCAGCACAGTGGCTAAATGGTTAGCACTTCCGCCTGGCAGTACTACGGTCCTTGGTTCAAATCCCAACCACAGCACCACCTGCCTGGAGTTTGCATGTTCTCCCTGTACCTGCGTGGGTTTCCTCTGGGTACTCCAGTTTCTTCCCACACTCCAAAGACATGCTGGTAGGTTAATTAGCTCCTGTCTAAATTGTCCCTAGTATGTGTATGTATGAATGTGAGTTAGGGACCTTAGATTGTACACCCCTTTGAGGGTTAGGGACTGATGTGAATGTACAATATATATGTAAAGTGCTGCGTAAATTGACAGCACTATACTGAAATAAATAAATAACACTGTATAAGCAGTTACAGCAAACAGACTTTTTTTTGTCTTTTGTGATAAAGGTTTTACATAAAGAAAAGCTGATCATTGTAAGCACCCCTGTCAGTGGTAAATGGTTTGTCTCATCCATCTAACTGCTACATCTACAGCACAGTTTGTTCTTTTGAAAAATAACAGATTTACTGGCCGGATCACCAGCCGGCTGCAACATAATCAGTGTTTGCTTTGGGTTTTAATACTGCTTTAACCACTTGGTGACCGCTCTATAGCAGTTCCACATACTGGGCGTGCACTGCTTCTGCTTTGATTTATTACAACAGAAGGCGATCAGCATGTGCTGGCCAATGGATGACCACCAGCACATGCTTATCGGCGATGAGAGACACACAGAACACTATGTAAACAAGGCAGAGCTGTGTCCTGTCAGTGGCGATGCACTGGGTTTTGTTTTTCTGCAAAACAGGGAAGAAAATCCAGCACATCCCTCTAGTAAAAACACCTCACAGTACACACAGTAAGCACTGTTAGACACACATTTAACCCTTTGATCGCCCTAGATGTTAACCGCTTCCCAGCCAGTGCTATTATTACAGTAGCAATGTATATGTTTAGCACTGATCACTGTATTAGTGTCATTGGTATCAGATTGTCTGCCGCAAAGTTGCTGATCACCGCCATTACTAGTATCAAATAAATAAATAAATAAAAATTCCATTATATATATACAATAGTTTGTAGATGCTATAACTTTTGCGCAAGCCAATCAATAAATGCTTGTTGGGAATTTTTTAACCAAAAATATGTAGCAGAATACATATTGGCCTAAATTTTTAAAGAAATTTGTTTTGTTTTTTGTTTTTTTTTTATTGGATATGTTTAATAGCAAACTATTTTTTTTTTGTTTATAGCACAAAAAAATAAAAAAACGCAGAGATGATCAAATACCACCAAAAGAAAGCTTTTTTGTGGAATAAACATGACATAAATGTCAATTATGTACAGCGTTGCATGATCGCGCAATTGTCAGGTGAAGTAACGTGGTGTCGTATAGTAAAAAATGGCCTGGTCAGGAAGGGGGGTAAATCTTCCGGAGGTCAAGTGGTTAAGAATACATAATAGAAAACATTTTTTAAATCAGAGTTTAGTGTCACTTTAATATCTGCCATTACTCACCGATTATGTAGGCCACCATTTCTGACCACTCCTGAAAAATCTACGGTACTTGTCAAGCTCTCATACCAATCCAATGGCTTCAATGCTTTCTGAGTCACTAACAAGTAGGCATGTATTCTTTCCAACTCACTCTGTCTAATCCAGGATTTCTCAACCAAGTTTTCATGGAACCTTAGGGTTCCTCCACAAGTTACTAGGGGGCCTTAAGCAATGAGCAATTTCTGATTCTCAGATAAGCTCCCACTGACGCCATTGATCTTTTAGCTCTCTGTAAGGGGGATATTCTTCCCAGTGACCACACATGTAAGGAGCATTCTTCCCAGTGACCACACATGTAAGGAGCATTCTTCCCACTGACCACCAATGTAAGGGGTATTCTTCCCACTGACCACCAATGTAAGGGGTATTCTTCCCAGTGACCACACATGTAAGGAGCATTCTTCCCAGTGACCACACACATATAAGGAGCATTCTTCCCACTGACCACCAATGTAAGGGGTATTCTTCCCAGTGACCACCAATGTAAGGGGTATTCTTCCCAGTGACCACCAATGTAAGGAGCATTCTTCCCAGTGACCACCAATGTAAGGGGTATTCTTCCCAGTGACCACCAATGTAAGGAGCATTCTTCCCAGTGACCACACATGTAAGGAGCATTGTTCCCACTAACCATCACAGTAATGTATCATGACTTATAGATATAGTAATTTTTCCCTGAGACCAGAAAGTCATTTCAAGGGGTGCTCTGTGTTGAAAAAGTTGAAGCAGGCTGATCTAATTCATACGCTTATTCCTGATCTTTGTCTCAGACAGTATCAACCAGAGACAGCCAGGAGACTAGTATTTGTGTATATATATATATATATATATATAAATAGGTACTTATATAGAGCCGTCAATTTACACAGCACTTTACATACATATTGTACATTCACATCAGTCCCTAACCCTCAAGGGGTGTACAATCTAAAGTCCCTAACTCACATTCATACATACACATACTAGGGCCAATTTAGACAGGAGCCAATTTAACCTACCAGCATGTCTTTGGAGTGTGGGAGGAAACCGGAGTACCCAGAGGAAACCCACGCAAGCACATGGAGAACATGCAAACTCCAGGCAGGTGGTGCCGTGGTTGGGATTTTAACCAAAAACCCTAGTACTGCCAGGCAGAAGTGCTAATAATTTAGCCACTGTGCTGCCCAATTTTAGTATGTGCTCAGCAATTGCAGATCTCATATTTCTTTTTCCTAGCTAAAAGAAAAGACACTCTGGTCACCCTGCAATCAGAGAACACCACCACCTGCACCAGGCTGGGAGTCCTCAAACCAACCATTGGTGGTGCTTTGGTGGAAACATTCAGTATAGTCCTGCCAGAACTTTGATAAAAGTTCGAGGGCAGTGGATATAAAACTCAGTAAAGAGTCAATAGAAGCTGTTTAGTAGGTATGCCATACATTTATGTATACAATTATGTGGAAAGGAGGGATCTGCAACCAAAGTTTTGTTTTGGGGGTTTTCTTTGATCTGATACATGGCCCATTGTGAGGTGATGAATGGATCCTTTCCCATCAGATTATTTGCAGGTCTGGGCACGATCTGTAACCAAATCAAACTCAGATTAAAGCGATTTCAGGAGTGTTGCAGTAATCATTGCGTCGAGCTCTCTCAGGAGATGTGTTCACGCTGTTAATTAGTTGCTGCGAGCGTAAATTACATCAGTATCAACATGGCTCACAATTGCATTTTCCTCTGATATGGACGGATTGCTTGGAAATCCAGCCAACAATTAATTACCTGACATAATAAATAGTGAGACTCCTGCCCGGTGCGGAGGCACTAGAACACCTCAGTGCTGAAGCTTCATACTGTGCTCTGGTTAAAAACCAGTCTGTAAGGTGTCACAAACACCTCGCCATTCTTCTTCTAGTATGATTCAGTGGCAATAGCTAATACACTAAACTGTAAACAAGCCCCGCCCCTAATATTGATGTTTTTCTACATGATGGCAGCTCCAGCAGAGTGGTTGTCTTTATTTAATAGTTTGACAGCAAAACAGCATCACTGATCACAATGGTATTTCTCACATGCAGCCAGTAAATTGTTCTTGCTATCAGCATGTGACATTTGTAGCTTCAGAACATCTCAGGCTGCTTGCACATTAGGCATTTAGCTTGTGTGCATCCAGTCCCAAAGATTTAGTGGGCCCAGAAGGTACCAGGCATACATCCTTGAATACTTAGGGCCCAAAACATGAGTACTTCACAGTACAGCTCTCAGCTGCATCTAACCGCAGCTTTTGACTCCGACAGGCTGCAGGCACCTGTGCTTCTCTAATAATAAAAATAATACAGCGCAAATAATACAAATAATCAAAACTGTGAAAAATTATATGTAAAAGTCCAAAGAAAAAGTCCCAAATTAAAGTCCAAATGTCCCAAAAAATTTGAAAAAATTATTATTTACTCAAACTTCATGAATTTTCCAGCTTGCTCACATCTTTTCTTTTATCGGTATATAGCAATATAGCATTGGTATCTTTTTTTCTTTTATGTTTTTCGCGATATGAGGAATATCTGGGAGAAAGAGTCAGTGTGTAATCGTATAGTTATATCATCTCTGAGGACACCACACCCCACCTGCAGGCCTTTTTTGCATCTTAACCTCCCTAGCGGTATTCCCGAGTGTAGCTCGGGGTAGAGTTTCAGTACCAAAAGCGGTAACCCCGAGCTACACTCGGGCTTACCATGCAGCGTTGCATAGGGATTCCCTGCAGCGCTTACCTCGTCCTTCGCTCCCGCGATGCGGCCTCTGCAGCGTCCCCGGCCATCTCCTCCGGCCGATGCCGGCATCCGACTTCCGTGTTCCAGTCCCTGTGACGTCGGGACGTACGGGCGCCGGCAGGCAAATTTGAAATTTTTTTAAAAATGTCATTTTTTTTAAAAAATGATTATTACATAGTAAAATATTGCTGTTTCAAAACATTTCACATATATTTTGTCCCGAGTGCTTTGTCCTGTCCCCTGCCTGCATTTTTACTGTTCTTTCTGCCTGGAAACTGAGAAACGTCCATGGCGTCCAAAAAGCGTCCCTTTATGTCAAAAGCGGTTTTAGACCGGCTAGAGAACAGCGATAGTAAATCAGAACCACTTGCAGAATTGAGTGATAATGATTCGTGGGGGAAATTCCTCATCAGACACTGAAAACGATTTTGCGACTTTGCTCAGCGATGTGCGAACTTGGCGCTATATTTCAAATTTCAGTGTTTTTGGTTTGATTATATTATTGAATTAAATTTATTATTATTATTTTTTATGATTATTTATTAAACTATAATTTATGATTTTGTGTTTCAAGTTTTATCATATCTGGAATGTTTACTAGACTCTTGTTTGGACAGATTTCAGTGAGTTATTCCTAAATTACAGGCCTACAATAAAAAAAAATACATATTTCCATGCAAAAAAATGGTACCGCTTTCAGCACCAAAAATCTGAAATAATCAGACCGCTAGGGAGGTTAATAGCCATACCAGTTTGGGAATTCACAGCTTTTGGGGAGTGTGGATCTATAAAATGCTTTTCACAGAAGATGTGAGTAAGCTGGAAAATTTATGAAGCGTGAGTAAATAATAATTTTTTCACATTTTTTGAGACATTTGGACTTTAATTTCGGACATTTTCTTTGGACTTTTACATATACGTTTTCACAGTTTTGATCTATTTGTATTATTTGTGCTGTATTATTTTTATTATTATTTTTTGATGTTTAGTCAATCCTTGAACAGCAGCATTTAATTTGTCACTTATTTCCTTGGCGCAAGTTTGATACATATTACCTGTGCTTCTCTGGCACGCTAAAATGCCAACATTGGATGCACACGGGCTAAACACCTAGTGCACAAGTCGCCTTATATCTCAAAGGTGGAGGTGGACAGCTTTAAAGTGTATGAAGATTTAGTTTAGGGAAGGGTTAGCAACCCTGCCAGGTTTTTATTTCTACCTGTGTCCCCACTGGTAAGATTCACCCCTCTGCTCTGGTCACCTTTGTCACCAGAATGAAAGTGATAAAAAATCCAGGATTCTGAGTTATCACTAGAACAGAAAAAGAGGAGCAACCCTTCAATAGGGACACCTGTTTTGGTGACCCCCCAAAAGGGGATTATCTCTCTCTTTGAAAAGATTTCCTCTTACTTCCTGTTGTGTATACAATTAGTTTAAGAAACTGAATTTGACTTGATATTAGCCTCTTGCAGTCCCCTATACCAGCCTTTCTCACCAATGTTTCACATATATACGGCCATGCGGGCCGCCTTTTGCGTGGGCATGAGAGCCCATTCATTTCAATGGACTCCCGTGCTCGTGACATGCAGGGAAGAAGTCCCTGCCTTTGTTCTGAAAACGCAGCCCGCACGGGAACCTCAGTTCCCAGTACGGTTGCGTTTTCCAGTGCGGGGGGCATGCCATTAGAACTATTTGCACCCGCCCGCGGGTCCGCATTCCTCTGTGCGGGGTGGTGTGGCTGCATGGATTTTCGTGTGGATCCGCAGTGGCACCACCCACAGATATGTGAGCCTAGCCTCAGTCAGGGTTTTTCGTGGAATGCTAGGGCTCTTCCAGAAGCTGCTAGGGATGAACACCAATGTAAGGATACATTATTTATTTCAGGTACTTATATAGCGCCGTCAATTTACGCAGCACTTTACATATATATTGTACATTCACATCAGTCCCTAACCCTCAAGGAGTGTATAATCTAAGGTCCCTAACTCACATTCATACATACACATACTAGGGACAATTTAGACAGGAGCCAATTCACCTACCAGCATGTCTTTGGAGTGTGGGAGGAAACCCATGCAGGCACAGGGTGAACATGCAGACTCCAGGCTGGTGGTGCCATGGTTGGGATACACTGGGCTTAGCTCACCCGTAGACTATGTTCACACAGATGTATGAAAAAGTACACCCGTGTAAAGGGTCATGTTTGCCCACACAGGATGCACAGATGTTCAGTCCATCCCTGTGCAGGCAGTCCCATTCATGTCAATTGGGACATAACAGCTACACAAACTTACCTGTTTCTCCCAACTTGACATCTATGTGGGTGCGTGTCCCCAAATGCAGACAGTGTGATTTTGGGGATGGGGACACACACCTGCATGGATGTCATATTGGAAGCAGCAGCCATATCTGCTCAGCTGTTACTTCCCTACTGACATGATTGGGATTACTGACATGATTGGGATTACCTGCTCAGGTGCACAGAGCACCTGTGCCTCCCCATGTGGGCAAACACAGCCCTCGCATTGGTATACACTCAAGTACACCCTTGTGAATGAGGCCTTATCAATTACTGATATAAACATTTTTAGCAGGGGTTCCCTGAGACCCGAAAATTATTTTAAGGGTTACTAAAAAAAGGAGTAAATGGCTGAAAATTGCCCCTATACAGCAGCACTCACACCGGGAGAGGGTAGGGCAGTACCAATCAGGTGTGCAGCATGCAAATCTGAGCAAGCTGATAGGAAGAGAGAATAGAGGAGCAGAGAGCATCCTGGTGCTTCTTCACAGTCTCTCAGTAGGCAGGAGGTTAAGGCTAGGTTCACATCTCCTCGTTCCTGCGGGCACGAGAGCCCATTCATTTGAATGGACTACCATGCTCTGGGACATGCAGGGAAGAAGTCTCTGCACTTCTTCGGAAAAGACTGCCTACACGGGAACCTCG